TTCTCTCCTCCAGGAGGCAGAGAGTTCGACAAGAGAGGAAGAGGATGAGGTCTCTTTATACTTGTCTTTGGGATCAAAAAGGCCCACACGAAATCATTTATTATTTGGACGCGAACGCTTTTAACTAGCTAAGACTTTTTATTTATTAGAATTTCTTATTTATTCGTTTTTAACCGGAACAAATGCGTGGGGCCTCATGCGCACAAACCGGTTTATGACATTATCTCTTTGAACGTCTTAGAGTTAACATCCGGCTCTCTATGTTCATTTAGTATCACTACAACACAATCGCTTTGGCCAATCAGAACTCGACGTAAAAAGAAAAAAAAGTATTTTCTAGCCAATCAATTTTATCTTCTCTGAACTGATTCTTGGAACTTATATACAGTTACCAAAAGTATTCCGTACTTTACAGCACGTAACAGATAATAACTTTAATCTCGACCAAACATCTTCAACTGAGCACTTTCTGTGTGTCTGTCGTCGACTCTCACATACACTTTAATACATTCAGCCACTTTACAAACGGCCATACATCCAAGCTTCGTCAACCCACAACTCGTCTCATGATCTTCGCGCGAACGCTACCACGAGCTTCAACTGACTCGCGGTCATTACAACCTAACCATATACAAACGATTCGTACTGATCTGAACAGGTTTATAAATAACAATAGTAAATTTATTTTTATTACGTTTCTGTATTTTTTAAACCTCCAGCTACATTACTCTTTACTCCTCTTCAATATTAGCGACTTCATTATTTTTTTAATGTCAACGAATACTCGTTGTCACTTTCGTAATGCTCGTTGTAGTAGAGACTTTGTAATCCCAGATACATCTATAGTAACGCCGTTGAACAATGCTGGTGTGAGATGCCTTCGAATATCACTCTTACTAATAGTATTTGCTCGATAATACTCGCTCGAATAATAATCCGGATAGTGACCAGTATAGTCGAATAGTATAGAGAATAGTGAACTGTATAATAATAGAAGATAGAATAAAATGCAGATCCGAATTGTAATAGAGGATAGAATAGAAAGACAGATCCGTTAGACGTCACGTGACTTCCTAATGCGTTTCCTTTATGGTCACGTGGTCTACTTAATTCAGTAATGGGATCGCCTGTGTTTGCTCACTGGCGATCTATGTTCAAACTCAAATGTCGGCAGAGACACTTTATTCCTATATAACACTTTCACATACCGGGTATAATTCCTGCAGAAGGGAAGGAAACTAGGGGAGATAATTAAAATAGTAGATCTGTATGAGTGAAATTTAGCGAGCCATTCAAAATTCCTTGAAATGTTATTGGGTGCAGCACGTGATAAATGCTGGAAAGTGTACAGTTGGAAACGTCGGCTCAGCAATAACAAAGATAAGGATATTAGTCTGAATAAATATGACGAGTACATATTACCACCTCCTTCAATATTAATTTTACACTTGTCAACATCATGCCTATCACAGAGCAATGGATATCATTCTAATATGATAAACCTTTGCAAGCAGTTATTTCTTGTTTTTTTTTTGTCGATTACTAAGTTTCGGAGCGAGATCTTTGTGGCCATCTTGATGATTATGTCGGCTCCAATAATCGGTAATTTTTTCTTTTTAATCTCATTTAGAATTTTATTTACTGATTTTTAAATTCAAATAAATTTTATTTATTTATTTTCTTTCTGCTTATTTACGTCATCGCTAAAGTTAAGATTCACGTACTTTTTTATTTTATTTTTTACTAATATTCACCCAAAACAAGGTCTAAGGGCCATTGTGGAGTTGTATTAACATAAAAGAAATAGCATAATCAAGAAAGATATACGGATAATCCTAGACTTGAAGAGGTCAAGATTTAATTAGCGAATGAAATTTCAGAGTTCAGGCGTTCGGAATATAGAGTTGAAGTAGGATTTAGAAAGAACCGGAAACCCAATCCTAAACAGGAAACAAGGGATGAACATCTACTCCCGTTCAAAAGACCTGAGACGTGTGTGAACCGGACGACAGGCCAACCTATTTACATTTATTTTACTTCTAAAAAAAAAAAATTCACAAAAATAAATTTCATTGAAAATGCGATCTACATCTAAGGAAGGTTAGAAACTGAACAGGATGAAAGTAATCGATGTAAAAAAAAAAAAAAAAAAAAAGAATGTCGCTCCTTTTTTTCTATAAACATATGCAAGTTGTTTTTCTTTCACCATTGGTTCTTCAACGACCATAAAAAAAAAACTAGTTGGCTGCTTGCAAGGAGAAAAGGACAACCCATTTATACCTCCTCCTTTATTCCTCTCTCTTTCTTTCTCCTCTCCTTCCAACTCCTGTCAAAAGAACTTCACATCCAGGGGGAGACAACCTTCAATGAAAACACTATTGCAACAGTTACAGACCAAGAAAACGCTGGAGTGACTCAGTGGCAGACACTCTCAAAACCCACGATATATCTCTCTTCCAGGCCACTTGCCTTACTGCTGACAGACGACAGTGTCTCCCCGCGACGCCTAACAGCACAAGCGGAAGGAAAACTAAACTAAACTAATAGAATAATAATAATGGTTCATCTCGAGATTTCACATTCTTCGTTAATTCCTCAAAAGGTCGCTTAGAAATTTTTCTGAACAAAATCCATTATGATATTAAATAATTATGAATGTTATTTGTAGTTCGACTATATATATATATATATATATTTATTTGCTTAAACGTTAATTTTAATGGATGGTCATATTTGAGTAGATGCTCTGTTTTTATTATTAAACAGTATATTTATTTATTTACATCTACCGACCTGAATATTCGAGAGATCTTGTTAGAAAGATATGCGCCTTCCAGCAGGCTTCGAAGCTAGGAGAAACCGTCATCAGATCTGACGTGTCTTGATCTCTCGGACACGTAGGGCCTCCTGATCAAACAAAGCCCGAATAGTGCTTCTGAACACATATCCTCTTCCAGATTCTCTAAATATACATATCTGCTCTGTTTCGCATCCTAACGTAAACAAAGACAATTTTTTTTGGATATGGATTAAATCCGACATATTTTTATTTCTTTGTTAAAACGTTATTTTTAATGTATGCTCATATTTGTGGGACGCAGTTTCGAATCCTATCGGATAGTGTATATTTTTAGTATCCATTAAAAATAGCGTTTTTTTTTTCTGATGTACGCTGGCCGTTAATAATTAAGTATAACTCAAGACTCCAATGTTAAGATAAAACTGTATTTAATTACATCTGTAAATAGATACTTAACAAGAACAAAAAAGTAAAAGTAAACCAAAGATAATTAACCATTTCAGTGAATACCTTGTCAGTAGCGCGGCTCGACTTAACTTTCCAGTAAATCAAAACCCAAATCATCGACGCACAATATTTCACACTAATTCAACTGGATAGTTCCACTCAATAGTCAGTTAATAATCACTGCAGTCAGTAGCTTGACACCGCTATTTATACACCTGGCGGAAAACATATATTCATAAGTCCAGAGTGTCAGGCTCGAACCTTGGTGTCGGTAGTTACTCATTTTCTTCCTATATGACACGTTTAAACAAATAAATAAAAATATGTCAGATTTAATCCATTTCCTAATATATATATATATATATATATATATATATATATATATAGAGATAGAGAGCACTTCGCAGTAGTGCCATAGTTAATAAATTTGTCTCGATACATCAATTATGAATGAATAGTGAGTGTGATCCTCGCTGTTGCGCCATACTTTAGGCCTTGTGCCATATCTAAGCTACGCTTAGTATATTGCTATATATTATGTATACAGGGTGCCCAGTAAAAAAAAAAAAACAATAAATTTATTATCACTGTTTTATCTTTCAGGAATAATTGATCTTGAATAACCTTGAATAAATTTTTTGAATATTCACGACCTTGAATAGAGCTACTGCCTCCTGGTTACCAGTCTTACAACTTTGATGATGATTGTTCAGTTTGTGCATGAATCATGATTTACTAAATAAATTTATTTCTCAATTTACGCCTTTTTTACTGGGCATTCTCGAGATGAATTCCATTAAAATTATCTTTGTTTCATTCTCTCTCTCTCTCTCTCTCTCTGTCTGTCTCTGTCTGTCTGTCTGTCTGTCTGTCTGTCTGTCTGTCTGTCTGTCTGTCTGTCTGTCTGTCTGTCTGTCTCTCTCTCTCTCTCTCTCTCTCTCTCTCTCTCTCTTTGGTTCGGATTAAACATTAAAATAACGCATATACATATATACATTGCAAAGTTGCAAAATATAAATTTATTTGTTTATAAATTTAATGTCTCTACTCCAAACAGAGCATGAAACTTTTCATCTGGGAAAGATATTTACTAAGCTAATCCTAGCTTGACACAAAACCTTAACAATACGCACATAGGCTATGACTTTTTTCACTTTTTACGAGCCTGTGCTTTCCGCTTGTTGGAAGCAAAGAAATAATTTATAAAATAGTGACAACTACATTGTTAGTTCATTCCTCAAAGGTTACTCGTCAGCATGTTAAATCCAATACAGTATTTAAAATAGATAAATTTTATTCTTAGTTCGACTTATTAAAATTGTCTTCGTTTCTTTCCTTTAATCACTAATGCACATTTCTTTTAAGACAAATCATAAATCACAAATCATGGCAGAAGTTGATCTGAGAAAAGTTCCAAAGATATGCAGCAAGTAAGACTCTTTAGCTAAGGAATTCTACCTACTGACACGTTGGTTCGTTTTTTTTTTTTTGTTTTTTTTTAGTTAAGCGATATATCAACCTCTATGGGTCATTTAATGTCGAAATCTAAATATTTTGTACACAATTTTATTTTATTTTTGAAGATAATAATTGTTTAGTGATACAAGATGGGAGAAGAGCCATAGTGGATTCATAACCTTCCCAATGTATTTGCGCGTAAGTGAATATAATGAAGCCAACTGGAATTGAAACTCGGCTTTCCGATTAACAATTCCAAACTATTACACATCATGCCACCTGGACATCCAAGTTTATAACACCTGGTATTCTCAAGCGGTCATCCATCTAGCTACTGGCCAGGCTCGACGTTGCTTAACTTCGGTGATCACACCGAAATCGGTGTTTCAACGTGATGTGGCCATAAGTCTCTATTAACACGAATCAAATGCAATGTTTAGATTTTAATAATCTTTTGCTTTTGATTTTCTTTTTCATTTTCGTAAATTTTGTTCTGCCACTTGATCGATCGTTGTTGTTAATGTTTTCTTACGCAATCGAATCCTACAATATTGCAGTGATCAATATGGTAGATTTTCAGGTCATTTATAGTTAACTAAGGCTGTTTCATCAAATTGATGATGCTACACATTTCACTGTAAGTAAGAAATCCAGGCACAATCTCTTATCAGAAATCCCTGGGCTTAGTTTTCGGAATTGACAAGTTTTCAGATTAGAATTCTAATTGCAGTATGTGACTTAGTGCAGACGACACCAGAATAGACTTTGCACTCAGGCAAATATCAGAGAAGCTAGGTGCATCACCGGGTTGACCTGGAAAATGACATTGCCGGAAGTGGGGATCTGCGCTGACCGACAGTAATTGAAGAGTTGAATAAAATATGATGTTATGTATGAGAGATTAAATCAATGTTTTCATTAGTAACAAAACGACGATAGCGTTGAGTAACGAATAGAGTTTATGAGAGAAATAGTCTTGAAATAGAACAAAATCAGTTAAAAGCAATTGATTCATTTACTATCGGAATGAATAGCACACAAGCGTAATGATCAATACCGATGTTTTATAGGAAATAGATCTTATTTCCAACTCAATTACATATCCACATTAATACCATATTAAAATTAATATTAAACATGCCCCAACTTTATCTTCTACCCAATAAGAGACAATATTACAAAAATTAACAAAAAATTCCACAATACAACACACATCGTTTAAATCAAAGTGTCTACTGGTTAGAAACTAACATCACTATGTGAAATATTTGACTCTCTTTAAGCGAAGAAAAGACGTAGTTTTGGTTTGTTTTGTTTTACGGCATATCAACCTCACTGGGTTATTTAATGCCGGCATTTTTTTTCCTGGTAATATTTTGTTTTGTCAAAAATCTATTTCTAGTAATATTTTTCCTTAAAAAAAGTATTGCTGGTAATAATTTTTTCCTCAAAACTGTATAGCTGGTAATATTTTTTTCAAAAATGTATAGCTGGTAATAGTTTTTTTTTTCTTCAAAAATTTATTGCTGGTAATAATTTTCACAAAGTATTTCTGGCATTAAAACTTATTTTTACATTTTCATGATGTTTTTACCCCAGTTTGGGGGCCAACTCCTTGTCCACAGCTGGGACCCCAACAGGGTGCTACCACCCCGAGTCAAGGGGGATCTGGGAACACCAACAATTAAGAGGTGTTTCCACGCTCCTCAAAACCTCCCGCTCAAAGGCCCCGCTGTTGGACATAGTTAATCGTCTTACCCTGGACGCGGATGTAGTTTATCGTCATACCAGGAAGAGCTTCCCCACAACGTTACAACAGAGGTGGTCGATTTACAGGAATACATGTGTTATAACCTAGGAATGGTTACTGAACGAGAAATAACCAAAACAGAGGTTGGAAATAAAATGGTAATCTTTATAACCTCAACAAAATACAATACTCGTCAGCAGCGTGAAGTAGGTAAACCACTGCTAGTAGTGGACTACTTAGACAGCATTATTACTCCCACATACAATAGTATCGAATGTATCTATGAGGATCGGGACATATCCATTAATGTTCATAGGTACGGTATATAACATATGCCAGAGGAGAAGCCGTATGACAAATTAAAGAATGTCATCACCAAGCACATGGGCGAATATAAAACAAGACGTTTTTTTTTTTTTACAATTTAAGTCTCAGTGATATGCCACCATTCGTTTTTGTTTTGTTTTTGTTTTTGTTTTTTTTTCTTCATCTCTTCTTGGAGAGAATGCAAACAAGGAGGAGTCTTATACTTAACATCAGGAAGAGGCAGCTGAAGTTTTTGAGACACGTAATGAGAAAAGAGGGCCTGGAAAATCTGATACTCACAGGACGAATAGAAGGAAAGAGAGACAAAGGAAAACAACGCATGACATACCTGGCGGGCTTAAGCAAGTGGATGACAGAATGTGGTCTGGGGGAGGAGGCAGAAGGACGAAACTTATTGCGAGTCACAATAGATAGGGCGAAGTGGAGAGCCATGATCGCCTACGTCCTGAAAGGACAAGAAACATAAAAAGAAAGATATGCCACCTTCACAGCTACTCCGAAAAATGAAAGTTCTTCTAGGAACTCCAAGGGCGACAAGGTCGTTAACATTTGTGGAGCGATAAATTCCATACACATAAAACAAGGATAATCGCCTCCGCACCTAAAGATATGGATAATTCTTTGTAATTTGGACGTTCGAATTTTGATATGGATTATTGTTTAGAATTTTTGGACGATGTTCGAATTTTTGGATAATTCTTTATGGATTATCGTTTTGAATTTGACGGACGTATGGATTATTGTTTGAATTTGGACGTTCGGATTTTGATATGGATTATCGTTTGGAATTTGGACGTTCGGATTTTGATATGGATTATTGTTTGGAATTTGGACGTTCGGATTTTGATATGGATTATTGTTTGGAATTTGAACGTTCGGATTTTTAATATAATAAACATGGATCACTGAATTTTCAGGTTTCATAGATCACACAAAATTTTTTAATAAAGTATGACAAGAAGAACTTGTTGAAGTGTTAGAAAAGCTTGTTTAAAACCTATGACATACAAATTAAAATCATTTATATGCAAATTTAAAGAAGGTGTCTTATATTTCTGTTTCGGAAATATGACAGTCCCACTGATAATGTTACTATTGAAAAGTACTTAGTACCTTCAGCACCAACGTGTACAAATTAACACAAGCGTGTGTAGGTCAACAATAAAACAATGGGGGAATCACCATAGACTGTTTAATCACCAGCATCGTCGGAAAGCAGATAACAGTAGCAACAGTGTGAGGAGATAAAAATGAAAACAAAGCGCACATTTTCAAAAGAGGGATGTTAATTAACATTGTTATTACATTTAACATGTAGAACAGTGAAAACGAGAATTAATGTTCTTTGGCATTGAATGTGTTAAGATTATTGCAATAACAAATATAATTGGGCGCCAAAACTTAGAAGAGTGTTCAACAAAGTAGCTTCCTCAGTTTGTAAACATAATAGCTCATCAAGTAAACCCATGCGCGTGACTGTGTAAGAAAACTATACTTAATATGAGTGTACAGTTAGAGACTTATTAAACATAGGTTATTGTAAATATTTTAAATCATATTCGGCATTGGGATATGACGATAGTTGATACGACGAAGAAATAGGTTCACCAACAAAGATTAGGCGCATGCCTTCCCACCAAAAATTTTTAAAAAATCTAACGTTGATAAGGCGATTTCGTGTTTTATATCACCGCCAAAAGCACCAATACTCACATTCTACCTTATCATATCACCCGCTTCTGTTTGTTTATCTGAAACACTTTTAGTAGGCGCGGCCGCTTAATTTGAGGTGATGATTACTACCATCCGAGTAAAAGAGGTTTCAAATTCGACTATCTACGATTTACGTCATTAGATTTTTAAAATCTACCGTTTCATTTTAGAGAAGATATGACCAACAAATGTTTCTGTTTATCTCAGCAACAGGAAGTGACCGAACACATTTGCGAACTTTCGACAATGACCACTTTAATTCCACACATCTATCTATCTATCTATCTATCTATCTATCTATCTATTACTTTAGTTTAAATGTTATATTTTTGGGACTTTAGTGCTTGAGTAGACGCCCTGATTTTTAAAAAGTGTGAATTACATTTATCGGCTTGTGTATTCGAGCATCTTAATAAATCTATCTATCTATCTATCTATCTATCTATCTATCTATCTATCTATATATGACATTCTGTATTTATCTGTCCCTGTGTGTTTTTATTATCTATCTATCTATCTATCTATCTATCTATCTATCTATATATCTATCTATATATATATATATATATATATATATATATATATATATATATATATATATATAATTATTTATTTAAAAAAAATTTATAACATAAATATTTATCACTAAAAAATGCCATTTTTAACATAAATAATTTTTTAAATAAATAATTATAAATAATTATATCTGCTCTACTCAGTATTGAGCACTCTTTTAAGAATAGTAATTCTTGGTTATTGAATTCATTCCGTATACACCAATTATATATATATATATATATATATATATATATATATATTCCATTTTGTATTGATCTTTCTAAGCATGTTCATTATCTGAGTTTGCTATCAGCACAATGTTGCCCGTTTTGTTAAGATTATGTCCGTCAAGAATAAATACATTTATTTTTCAACTCTCCTATACACTTTAGTTTTATTTTTTGAATTCATGTATAATTATTATTTTGTAATTTCGTTGTTTTTTATTTTATAGTGTCATGGTAAAATAATTTTGAGCCACTGTTTATATTTTTTATAACTTTAAGACGTGTCATTAATATGACAATTTTTGTTTATGCAAAATTCTTGCTATCAATGTTGCTACAATTTCTCTACCTGCTTGATTTTCACGTCCCCAATATGTTACTCACACCTTGGGTTGTCTCTTTTACTTACAACCATGCATTCTGTTTACTTACAGTTAATAGTCTTTCCCTCTTCCTTTTCTTTAAAAAAAACCTTATCTAGGAGTTCATATATAACATCAGTTTGAAATGCAGGTTTTCATTCTACGTGCATGGTTAATGGGGGAAATGGGAAGGTGGTGCCGGAGAAGACACAATCACAGAAAAAAGACCAACAAGAGAAAGAAAGGATGAAGAGGAAAATAAAGAAAAAATAGAACAGAAAAAAAAGACTATCTTTATATAATAGTTATATTTAAATAAGCTTTAGAAAGAAAGAAAGAAAGAAAGAAAGAAAGAAAGAAAGAAAGAAAGAAAGAAAGGCGAGTAGTACAATCACATCGACAACAAATAATTTTCTTAGCATTGTGAATACACCTGCAGAAACATATGCGCATGTCAGTGTGTGCGCG